TACTAACATCTAGAGTGGGTAGAGGTCAGGATGCTGCGTAAACATCCTACACGTCACACAGGACAGCCACCCACCACGAAGAGTTAGCAATTCTAAAATGTCAGTACCTTGGCTGTTGAAAAGCCTCGAGTTAAATAAGCATATTTCAAAATGTCCATGTCCTATGTATTGGAATAAGAAGCTCTCGTGGCACCGGTGGGTAAGCGCTTGGCAGGTGCAGCACACCAGCCCCTCGGGATCAGAAAGATGTGGCATTCAGCTTGCTTTAGGTTTAGGATGTACAGCCTTGGGAAGCCTATAGGGTTGCTGTAAGCCCCAGTCAGCTTTAGGCAGTGGGTTGGCTTGCTTTAGGCTTCTATTTTGGAATGGGACCATAGGAGGACATTCCCAAGAAAATAGATGTTTAAATGTAGTTAGGAATTAGATAACGTTTATGAGCCACAGAACTGGAATTTATCCTTGTCCTTAGTTATTTTGAACTAGTGACCATAACTTCAATCATGTGGCATTTTTAGAGTTCCAAAGACAACTTTTCTTTCCATTTTTGTTCAGCCTCTTTATGAGAATATCTATGAATATCTATGAAATAGAACAGATGACATCAGTTTGCAATACAGATTGCTGGAACAGAGGCCTCTGTCTACCTGAGGGACTCAGAGTAATTGTGGAAGTGGATCTGGACTGTCACACCGAGTGACTAGGCTTCGCCGTTTTTTTCAGATGAAGAAGCAGGGCAGTGGCCTCTTGTAACGTGCCTTCATAGCTCACTCAATAAAAATGTTTAATATACATTTCCTTTCAAGTTTTTTGTCACTGGTCTGAAATAGGACCTTAGTGAAATAGGAAATTAGTGACAGCACTGTTCAGTATTAACTATTACTGACTTATGATTATCACGTGCTGCTAAGTTAGGTGCTTCATAAAAATTCAGGTTTCCTCCATGGAAGATGATTAGTAAGCACAATGCCTAATTAAGTTATATATATGTAATCCTGGGTCTTGGGTAGAGGTGGTTATATTTTAAACAAAAATAGAGTTACTGATTTGTTTTTTCTAATTTGCATAGACAAGATGGGGTTTTTGTCTACTCAGCTACTTAATCTTACTTTTGCAGGAATAGAAGCCCTGTCTAATGACTTTCAGTTCATTAGGGCATTTTTCTCCCGAAAATTCAATTGTTTTCCTCCTTGAAAATGTGACAGAATGTCACTAATAAGGATATGCATTTGCATCCCTTGAATTCTTAGTGTGAAGTAGGGGGAAAATCTTGGCACCAACATATGGCAATTGATACAGTGAAGACCTTTTAAATATTCACAGTTAATAGGCATTCATAAAAAGGTTAACTAGTAAAGTCATAAGTATACTGGTGCAGTTGTTTTAAGACTGTTTGAGAGGTGGTTAGAGAGGTAGGTGGACACTTTAGATTTATTTGTTTTACTGTTGTAGCTACTAAACGATACCTACATTTTTGTAAATAATGAAACCTTCATTCTCTACAACGTGTTCATATAATTCTTATAATGTAACAAGTTATTACCAGCTAGAAAAGTAAATCTAGTCTGCAATTAGCCCACCCATGATTAACCCTGTCAACCAGAAAGTTGGAAAACATTTGCCAACATCAGAGATGTTTCCCATTAAGATTACGTAAGTTTCTGTTACACTGAAGTATATTTAGAAAACACTTAATCCATTGATCTTTTGGTATTAACTCTCAGACGTTTCATAACTTTCTGTCTTAGTATTCATGGATATTACATAAAAGTCTTTTCTACATTCACTCTGTATACTTAATAAGCGTCTGCTGAAATGCTACACTATGCCTTGTTTTCCATTTATTTTGAATGGCTTTTTATACTGATTTAAAGGCAGCTGAGCAGCATAATTTATACTTTGGGCTGGTTTAACAATATATGATAAAGTTTCTCAGGGAGAAATTTTTGTCGTAATATTAATTATATCGTCTTTGACTCTTACCCTGTGTTTTTGCATTGTTTATATCATTTGATCTTCACAAAGAATCCAGTGGGTATTATTAGCCTCACAAGGAAATTAAGGCCTCCAGCGATTGGCCTGCAGTATAGCTTTGGAGATGAAAGCTGTGGATGCCGGAAACTGACTACCTGGTTTTGAGTCAGAATGCAGTTTCCGCCACTCTCTGACCTTGGGCGAGCTGTCTGACCTCTCCATATTCTGGTTTCCTTATCTGAAAAGTGAGACTAATATTAACCTGTTTTATGGGATTGTTGTGAGAATTGAGCAAAATATGTAAAGAGATTGACACAGGGCCCAGGAAACTGGAGTTAACATTTTAAAATGTCAATTGGGATGCAGAGAGAGACAGATTTAGCTGGAGTTAAAACAGACCTTGTGATTTCAGATCCTGTTCTTTTCTATCACTTTAATAGTACTTATTAATTGAATGATGGTTAAATCCCGATTCTTGCCTACACACGTGTTATTTAGTACTGGTAGTCCCAGGTTCGTGCTGTATTTGAAGTATGACAAGCTCTGCTGAATAACCACACTGGTGACTTTTTTTGGCGCGTTGTGTCCTTAGTATTATGTACTGCATGTAATGTTGACGCGCTTATTATGCTGTTGTCCATCGCACATGTCCACTCACAGATGTATGTTTGTAGTATTTCTAATCCCCAAAGGCATAAATCAGATTTATAAAGACACAAAATGAAAAGCAATAGTAATGAAAACTTTTTAAAAAAGTGTTTGAATTATTGTAGAACTCATCCTTAATTGGGGATTTTCTCTAGTAATATTATAGCATATAGGGATTGCAAAGCTTTACTTCTAAAGATATTAGTGAAATTACAGGTCAATACCTAACGCATTTAAAGAAATATAGGGTTCTTAATATTTGAATTTAAAAACTAAGTAACATTTATATCCTAACTCTTTTCCAAAGAGGACTTGGAATAAATACTGATGTTTCATAGTTCACAAAAATCCTTTTGCTTGCATTATCTTAATTGAACTTCGCAGAATATCCAGTGAGGTAGGAGAGCAAGTATTAGTATCCTTAATTAACCTATTGAAAACAGCTCCAAGAATGTTAAGTGACTTTCGAAGGAGGTAGCCAGGTTTGAAATGAGTCTAGAAACCAGATCTGTGGATATTGCCTCTAAACATAAAATGGATTAAAAAAAATTTTTTTTGCAGATAAAGCACAACTTTGAGGTAATTTTGCAAATCTGTTCAGGAAGTAAAAGGAGCCGTGGTGGTGTAGTGGGTTGCCCATTGAGCAGGCCGCCCAAGGTCGGTGTTTGAACCCACCAGCTACTCCATGGGAGAAAGACGAGGCTTCCTGCTCCCATTGAGATTGACAGTCTCGCAACTGAATGGGCAGTTGGACTGTGCCCATAGCATTGTCATGAGTCGGAGAGGACTGAGTGGCAGTGGTTTGGGTTTGCTTTTTTTATTCCATAAATATTGAGACTTTTCTACTCTCTTGTTTGAAGTGCTAGAAAGTGCAGACATGAACAAAATTAAGTCCATGTCCTTATCTAGTTTATCGTTTCTCTTATAGGAAAGCACTAGATAAGAGGGCTCACTGTTTCATTGACTTCTAATTTACCCTACTTGTGGGGTGTTTCAGATTTCCCATGGCTACCATAAATGAGTCAAAAAGTGTTGCTATAAAATCAGAAGTCTTTGGTTAAAGAGAAATACAAAACTTTTTGTAGCTGTTGTTTCTGAACACAACTTCTGCCTGGGTCTGTGTACTTCTGGAGCCGATGGCTCATCTCACCAGAAGAATTCCATATTCCTCAGTTTCCACTATGGCAAAATGGCAGTTTGGGGATCTCTAAGGGACTCTAATTGTGTTCCTTTTAAAAGTTCTTGGGGCACACCAAGAAATCTAAAGGGGCGAGATCAGAGTCGTAGTGTGGATGGGGCAACGTAGTATATGATCATTCTCATGGGACAGCCTTTATTACCCTTGCAGAGTGAGAACGGGTGCAGTGTCTACTGATAGAAGACAGTTCTCTTTGCTGCAACTTTGCTGACGTTTTTTCTTACTAATGCAACTTTCAGGGTTTGTTTGCTTAACTTTGTAAAAAGCGCCCGTGAACAACCTGTATCCTCCGGGAAAATCTCTCAAGATTGCCCCTTTTGAGTTACAATACCTAGTCACCATAGTTTTCTGAGCTGGCACACCTCTTTGCTTTGAATTGAAGTGGCCCAGGAGATCCCCTTGAAAGAAACTTTTGATTAGACCTTTTTTTGAAGGCACTCTGACGAGACTCAAGACAAGCGTACTGCTGAGAGAACTTGTCTGCAGCCATCCTCTGCTCGCATGGATGTGTTTAGACCCATGGGTTTCTGAGCAGTAACTCTGACAATACTTCCTTACTTAACCCTTGTGTCGGAGGTAAAATTGTCGAAGGATGATTCTGTTTGGGAAGACCAGCGATGTCACTAATAGAGAACACAGTGAAAAGGCACTTTGTGCATTTATTTTGGTGGGGGAACCTGCTGAGGAAATGTGCAGGAGGCCCTGAGATAGTTGATGTACCTGGAGTTGGGTGAAAAAGCAGGACTGCAGACCTGGGAGTTAAGTCCTGGTGTACCCATGAGCCTAGTAACCTGGGAAGTAAGACCAGCTATGGAGGGCCGGAGAGTATGAGCAGTCATTGAAGTACCAGAATCATTGCACCTCATGTAATTTTTTAACTGATGGATTTGAACTGCTGACTTTGAGGCTAGCAGCCAAACCCTTAACCCACCGTGCCACCAGGGTTGAAAACACTGCCTCAGCAGTGTGTAGACGTAGATGGAAGACCATTCCACAAATAATACGTCATGTTTTTGTACTTTTATAAAGGTTTCTGCAGTTAGGTCACAATATGTTTTGACTTAACCGTGTATATCTTGCTAGTAGACTTTAGCTGTAGAATATCTTTACCTGTAGTGATTGATTCTGATATCACAGGTGAACCAGCTAAGTGTCTGAAATCCTTAATGCCACAGGCTACTACATGGCGGGTACAGGGTAGGCTTTCAAAAGTTCATGGAAAAATTCTGTTCCCTTTTAATTCCATTTCTCCATGGACTTTTTGAAGTTGCCTGATACTTGGTTTTTGAAGTAGAGGCATAGAGGTTAATAGAAATTATTATTAACAAAGCTTCTGTCCTATTAAAAATACTGAAATCTGTTTTAATTTAGATGATCCAGTACTGTTCTTGCTAGTGGCAAGAAATAAAATTTTGACATTTTAAAGACTGAGTCTTAGTAGCTCATTCCCTTCAGAATCAGAGCTCCTTAAATACTCCTGAGCCTCAGTCAGCCCTTAGTCACCATGAGAATTCACACGCAGCAGCTACACGTAGAATTGTTTTATGGAGATTTAGAAGTTAGGATGTGAGAAGTAGGATTTATTGTAAAAGGTTAACTCAATCATCTAAGGGATGCTTATAGATTTTTAAGAAAACTGGTTTTCTTAAGGGTTATTATTCCTGTTTTAAAAATATGTCCAGTATCCTTAAAAGTAATTTCCCCCAACATTGAGTGTTCACAGAATCTCCTTATGATGATTTGGCATGTTCCTAACTTGTAGATAATGCTGCAGTCTGCAAAGTGAATTGCTACCATGAGCTGTGTTTGGTCTACAACCATTAGCATGGTGCTTGTTCTTAATCTTGTCTGATCTGTTTTGTGTAAAAAATTATAGTTATTTTTTTAAAAAGTAATAAAATTATATCTGTTTCAGAGCCCAACAACTTGACTCTAAAAATTTACAGAGCTGAATCATATGCTGGTCTTCAGGAATGTAAAGCAGCCATAGAAGACTTAAACGCAGTTCTCTGTCAACTTCCAAATTCGCCTGAGGTAAATTATTCTTTTCCACTTGAATGGACTTGTAACATTTCAGCATTACAAGAAAAATGTATTCAAAAGTGGCTGTGGTTTTAGCAAATTGATGTTCAACTGTAATATTTGGGGTTCTATGATCAGTGTGAGTGGATGAACATAAATTATAAGAAGTCTTTTGTTTCATAAGTAAAGAACAAACCGATCTCAAAGGACAGAAGAAGGAAGACGCTTTATAGACAAAACTTCTGTGTTGTTAACAAAGAAATGCAACTTGCCACATTGTGAAGCTGGGCCCAAATTGGACTTCCTTGAGCAAGGCGGTTCATGTGCGGAACAGACTGAACACTGAGGCATTATCTCAGGTCTTTAGGTCGTGATTTAATACAGCAGATGGACAAAGGAGGGTGCCTTGCTCATACGGTTTTAAGACAGTGTTGAGACATTGATGCTTATTAATTAACAATTCAATAATCCTTTTTTTTTTTTTTTTTTACCAAATTACTGGAGCAAAGGCAATCCCTTTGGCATATCTGCTCCTCAATCTGCAGGTTACTTTTTCCTTTACATGCCCGCCTTCCCACTCTTCTTTAAAACTGCCAGAGAGGACAATATGGTCCCGAGGTTGCAAAACTTAGACATTACTAGAGAAAATCTTTTCATGGTGTGACTGGTTAGTACCAAGCAAATAAATACTAAGGATCAGAGAGCAAGTACAGGGAGCTTCCAGTATCTTTTAATTCCATTTTTCCACGAATGTTTTGAAGCTCTGCTGAAGTTTGCATGGATAGCTTTAAAACTTGGGAGATGCTTTAAAAAGGAAGGAATCCTTTGTACTGAAATGATGTAAATAGAATATGTGCCAATGCCTGTCCAGAAACAAAATGTTTGGCTACAGCATTCTGAGAGTCCTCTGATACTCTTTCAGACCAGCACTTAGAAAACCTATTTCTAATCACACAAGCAAGGTACATTGAAAGTTCACCCGTTGGCACTTGTTTCTAGATTTTGGACTGACTCAAAAGAATTTCAAGTTTACCAAAGATATTTAATAGGATGCCAATATCTGTTATGACTGAACTCATATCCTGAAAGAGGAAAACAAATAGGTCAGAGAATGGGCACATCTGCTGTATAAATGACTTCCCTATAGCAATAAAGAGTAAAGTAATATCAGTGAAGTTCTCACCTTTGAGAACTAAGATGAACCTGATCGAATCCATATTTTCATTTGCTTCATGCACGTGCAAAAGCTGTTTAGTAGATAAAAAAGGCACAGAAGAACTGATGCGATATAGATGGTGTTAGCAAAGAATATTGACTATCACGGACTGCCAGAAGAATGAATAAAAAATCTGTCTTGGAAGAAGTAAAGTCAGAATGCTCCTGAGGAACAAGGATGACAAGACGTCATTTCACATGCTTGGACATGCCATCAGGAGGGACCAGGCCCACGGTCAGCAAAAAAAGAGGAAGACCTCCCATGAGATGAATTGATGAAATGGTCCTAACAAGGGTCCAAAGCTAGGAAAGATTGTGGCGGTGGCACAGGACTGCGCAGTGTTTGTGTATCTAGGGTCACTGTGAGTTGGAACAGACTTGAAGGCGCATGAAATATACAGTGAACCCTCGTTTATCGCGGTTAATCGGTTCTAGACCCTACCGTGATAAATGAAATTCCGCGAAGTAGGATTCCTTATTTGTAAATCAAATATTTTCGTAGTTAGAGCATAGAGGACATGAAAAAACACCCTTTAGTCACCATTACATTCATATTACCCAATTTATTAAACGAAAAAGGGAAAATACAGTAAAACATTTTGGACGCTACAATTATCATTTATTATTTTATTATTTATGGCATCAAGCGTGTACAGTATGAGCCAATCAGTGGCAGTAATGACAGAGCATGCGCTGTTACGCAAAAACCGCGATAGAGTGAAGCCGCGGAAGTCGAAGCGCGAAGTGGCGAGGGTTCACTGTAACTATAAAAGTGTCATATCTCTAAATAATAATAATAGTAATAATATAGGCAAATAAACACTCCTGTCATCTGGATGACAGTTACCTTACTTCCTTAATTCCAAGATGAATGCTTTTTCCACATTTTAGTGTTGGTTTAATATTTATGTGCTTTGAAGTTAGTATATATCTTCATCATTTCCTTTTCCCCAAACAAAGCTGTTATTAAATTGATACTCTTTCCACCAATGACGTCGTCAAAATCAGGGAGCATGGTATTTCTGGCCCTTCCGAGCTCTGATTTGCTGTGGAACTTTGGTAAAGTCATTGTTGAGCCTTGAGGCCCTTGAGTGGCTAAAACTTGGAGAACTTTGGGTTCCACAGTCATTCAGAATGTCAAAACCCAGCACTTCTGAGCAGACTCTCTTTCTGTACCTGACAGTGATGTAAAACACACACATGCACACACGGTTCTATCAATACAGACCCTGTTCTCGTGCTTCATTGAAGGTCTACTTCAGGAAAGGAAAAGTGCTCCATGATGCTGGTTTCCTAGGTGATGCCTTACAACTCTTTCTTCAGTGTCTGGCCCTGGATGAAGATTTCTCCCCTGCAAAGCTGGAAGTAGAAAAGGTAATCTGTTTACTAACGCGGGTAGCTCAAGACAAGGCTAGCACACAGGTCTTTTTAGAACTGCTCATTACTACAAGATTGGATTGATTATGCCCATAAGTATACAGATCAAATCTCATAGTAATTTGACATGTGGGCTTCTATTTCATTCATATACTTAGTGTATAGAATTCTTCTGAAATTAAAACAGCTTATTCATCCATATTTAAATGCTGTCATTTTACCCCCTAGCATTTGGGAGTTCCCTAATTGTCTGCTCAATCTGAGCCCGACTGGTAGTCCTTCAGGAAACACACTGTGAGGTGCTCCTGCTCAGGAATCTTGATTGGCCTGCTTTTGTCTTTCATTTCCTGTGGTGACTTTACGACTTTACGTACTTTTTATGGTTGCCATTGAACTTAATCTCATTTTCTCTAAACACTCCTATATGACTCCATACATGACTTTCCAGAGTTTGTTTATGATATGGCGGTGAGTATTAATAAAAAGTTAAAGCAAAAAAAGGTGGGGGAGGAAGTTCTCTGGTCTTCATGACTTTAGGAAACATTTGGTTAAACCAGGCTAAGCTCATTTTTTTCAGAACTTCCCTGTCAGTGTTTTCATATGCTTTTCCCAAGCTCATTCACCGTGTTTCTGGATAGCTAGCATCTTTAGAAGCAGCCCTGGTGGCATGGGGATGGGTACTCATTCCCCGCCAGCTCCTTGATGGAGGCAGACGAGGCTCTCTTCTCCCATAGTCACAGTCTTGGAGACCGCAGATGCAGTTCTTCCCTGTGGGTCAGAATGGGCTTCATGGCAGTGAGAGAGAGTGATTTTGAGAACACGCTGTGGGAAGTTCGACCTTCATAACTCTGCAGTGCCCTGGGCCTGATGCTCTCTCCTCGGTACCCTCAAGTGAGCCTCACCCCTCACCTCCGAGGGGTTCTGACCCATGTGGCTGTGTTGCTTCTGTATCAGAAGCTCTTGGGACGCGTGTTGGACGTACCTAAGGTGCCCAGATTTTAACATTGGTAAAGTGGGACACCATTGATAAAACTCATATCCTGGTGAAATAGCCACGTGGCAGCTGAAAACTGTATACCCTAGCTTGTGCATTCTTTCCAAAAATCAAGACTTTTTAAAAACGCCGTGGGATGTGGGAAAAATTGTTAAAAAATCGGACTGTCCCGCCAAAAGCGGGACGTCTGGTCACCTTAGATGTACCACAGTCCTTTGGAAGCAGAATGCCTGGACCTGAGACGATTTAAACAAATACCCCAGGCGATTCTCATATATGAGAACTTGAAATCTGGCTCAACCCTCAAAACTCCCTTATGAATCCAGCCAGCATTGATGAGATTTGAAGGGGCCTTAAAAACTGCATGACAAATAGATTGGAAAGAGAACAGAGTTTTTTCCATGAACTTTCTGAAATCTGCTTGTACATGCTAGCATATTGATTTAGAATAAATGGTTTCTCTTGTGAGTTTCATGAGTGTTCTCTGTATTCGTGTTATCTTCCTGGTGACGTGGACATTTTTGAGGCTTATGATTTGTGTTTTCCATGTTTCTAGACATCCATACATTTCTGTCGATATTTGTTGGCTAATAAAACCTGAAAACAAAACAAAAACCACCAAACTCTTTGTGATCTAGTCCATTCTCATTCATCATGACCCTGTAGGACAGTGGTTCTCAACCTTCCTCATGCTGTGACCCTTTCATACAGTTCCTCATGTTGTGGTGACTCCCAAACCATAACATTATTATGGTTGCTACTTCATCACTGTAATTCTGCTACTGTTATAAATTGGGCGACCCCTGTGAAAGGGTCGTTCAATCCCCAAAGAGGTCCCGACCCACAGGTTGAGCACCTCTGCTATAGGATAAAATAGAACTGTGGGATTTGGAGGCTATACATCTTTATGGGAGTAAAAAACTTCATTCTCCTTCTGAGAAGCAAGTGGGTTCCAGAGTTCATAGTGAAGTCACGTATAAATACAAAACAACTGATGTTTTGAAATAGTTTGTGTTTCTTATATGCTTTTTCTGAATTGTGATATAATATACGTACAATAAACACAGATTTTACAGTATTGGGAAAAATATACTGACTATTGGGAAATGAATACACCTGTGAGCAGCATCCCAATCAAGACACTTGGACATTTCCATCATTCTAGAAAGTTCCCTCATGTGCCTTTCTTTTAACCCCACACCCTCCTGCACCCCCAGCTCCAAACTCTGAACCAAGCAAGGTCACAGGCATCGAGTCTGTAGGGACGCATAGCAACCCTGTAAGGCGGGCGGGCGGGCGGAGAGTGAACTGCACCTGGGGGTGTCCGAGAGGGAGTAGAAGCCCTTTCTCTCTCCTCTTGAGCAGTTGGTTCCCCGCGGGCTGCTTTGTGGCTAGCAGCCCAGTGTGTGGCCACTGCACCACCAGGGCTGCTTAGCCAGCTTCTTGTCTGACTTCTCACCTCGAAGCAGTTTTGCCTGTCTCGCCAACTTCGTATGCACATAGCCATGCAGCATGTGCTGGGTTCGCAGTTGTGCCTGGATTTAATATTTTGGGGTGTGTGTGTGGGGGGGGGGTGTACAACAATACTTTTGAGGCATGTCTAGTATATTTTTTTCCTTTTCTGTTGACTCATTTTTCTTTTATATGAACATCTCACAATTAGTAGAAAATTGTAAGTGGTTTTCTTTTTTTATTTCACTGTTAGAAATAAAACTTCTATGAACATTCTTATTCATGTCATTTTGTGAGTGTATTATACACATACATGCATGTGTGTGCATGTATGTATGTGTATATATATGTATTTCTCTGTGTGTGTATCACACATACCTACGAGCAAAGTTGAGTTATAAGGGTAGGTATGTGTTTAATACCTTTTTAAATTAGGAAATGTGAAAACTGATTTGAAGCCTTTGTTCATTCAATGGGGCATTGGATGCCCACTTTTATTTATACTGAATTATTTCTTCGCAATGAATCATAAGCAATTCCAAGTTTTGTGTATTTGTCCCATAGAGCAAATGAAAAGTAGATTCTTCAAATTTAGGTGGAAATAAATGTTTATTTGATAATGGAAACATGCAGAATCCCTCACATTTCCTCTCAACCTTTTCTTCCCCAATCTTACCCGATGTTTACCCCCGAGTCAAGGTTGGCAGTCTTCCTTCTCCTGGCTCATTTTTGAGGTCTCCCCAACCTTCTTCAAATGCTTGATCCGTCTGAAAACTGTTGTTTTATGTGGGCTACATGCCTATGGACTTGCTGCCAAGCTTCAGAGATTTGGGAAGATATCAGCTTGAGTTTTGTTAGCACTTTACTATTGGCCCTGACATCAAAATCATTTTCGCCTCTATGACGGAAAGAGTATCTTTCCTGCCCCCTCGCTCCCCCCACCTTTTATTAAATAGCTTCACAAGACCCATACACGTTTGTTGTTGAAAGCATGTGTTTGCAGCCATCCACGCATTGCAGAGACGTGCACATGCTCTCTTTGGAATAAGCTGGCACGTGTGTAAGCTGGAACCTTAGTAGCAATACATTTTTTACTGTTGTATACCTAACTAACCCGCTCATCTCTTACTCATGAAAAATAATCCACCACCACCCCTTTTTTGGCCCTTTTAAAGTTGTTTCAATTTTTAGTATTTTTTGCTTTCTTTTTGTATGAGGTTTTCCTATGTTTTGGCTAGTAGTCATTGTTATTGAATTTGTGTATGTGTCCGTGTGTGTTTGCTTCTTGCTTGTATGTTGTATTATTTACTGCAGATGTAGCCCCAGATGGGTAGATTTATACAGACAGTATCTGGATTGACACTGCATGGGGGCGTGGCAGGGGAGAATGAGGGGAAGGAGAGGTACGGACGAGTACAGGAAGAAAATGTTCTGAAACTGATGCTGGTGATGAGTGCACACATCTTCTTCATATAATTGTACAATTACGTTGTATGATATGTGAAGTAGAGCCCCATGAAAATATGATACATTTTAAAATAAGAATAATATCTACTACAAAATTTCTAACAATTTGTAAATACTAAATGTAGTTTTACTCAGTTCTCCTGACTCAAATATTACATATTCCCTTTGACTTCTATAATATTTCTCTTACAGATTTTGTGTGACTTACTATCCCCTGAAAACTTAAAAGAAGGCCTAAAAGAATCTTCTTGGAGTTCATTACCAATTACCAAAAGCAAAGCTTTTGGTTTTCCGGCAGTAATAGAAGAATCTTACTCTCCTAGTGAGCTTAGTCCAGAGCAGGTAAGGGATGAGTAAAGATTATCATGAGTCAAGCAGCCCTATTTCTTGACAGATTAAGATTTTCACTCTCATGATTTTGAATATAGATAAACGAACCTGCCATCAAGTTTATTCTGACACACAGAGATCCTCTTGGACAGATTAGAACTGCCCCTGTGAGTTTCCGAGACCGTAACTCTATGGAAACAGAGAAACCTCTTGTTTCTCCCAAGGAACATCTGGTGGCCTGGAACCACCAACCTTGTGGTTAGCAGCCCAACTCATAGCCCACGACACCACTAGGGCTTCTGAGCACAGGTTGGCGCTGACTCTGAGTTGCAGCTAACTTCACTTAAGACTCTCTGGTTTCGTTTTAATTTTTTGTTTTTACATCTTAAAATATCGGAGAGGGTAATTTGTTGATGTAATTCTAAGATGTTCACTCACATACATCCCGTGTTATAATATGTAAAGATATGTATTATAAAAGGCAATAATAATGACAACTAAGAATATATAATTAGATACTTAATTAGTTAGAATGGGCTTATGACATAGTTGTTGGAAAAGAAGCCGTTATAAGTTGTGGACTACCTGCCCCAGACAGAACTGAGGTTTTGAACCTATTTGCCCAGTTGGTGGGGAGTCTGTTCCTTCACCTGGTGAACCTGCTAGAGTTCTAATAGAAAACGATGTTCCATAAAGTTTCCAAGAGCTGACTTCTCAGAAGTAGCTTGTTTGGTCTTTATTGCAAGGTACCTCTGAGTGGCCTTGAACTTATACTCTTTAAGTTAGTAGCTGAATCCATGAACCATTTACACCACCCAGTGCCCCCTGTTGTTGTTAGGTGCCTTGGGGTCGAGTCAGTTCTGACGCAGAGTGACCCTGTGCACCACAGAATGAATAATTCCCAGGCCTGCTCTGCTCCCACGATTTGTCTCATCTTTGAGCCCATTGTTGCAGCCAAAAGTCTTCTTAGCATTGTCTTAATATAATTGAATCTGTAGCTTTTCATTTTGCAGTACAATTTTGTGTAAAATACTTGCTCATGAATCACAACTTTAAGTCACTTAAATGCCAGAACACTTTCAATCACTTAGAATTAGTAGAACATTGTATTCATTTTAATTCTTTCAGGGTAGAAGCAAGCCTATTGACCGATTCAATCAGTCTCCTTATAACACAAGTCACCTCGACATCTGGTGCTGTATGAGTCCTGGCGACATTATTTATTTGCCAGACGTTCGCAGTTAAAAACGTAGGAATGTTAAAATGAACATTGGAGAGCATTGAAGTTTAGTTTGCAGTGAGATAGATCAGTATTCTGTCATTTAAAGGATAGGGTCAGAATTTGCTCTATGGCATGCAACAAAGAAGGATAGTTACTTTTGTTTATTGTACTTTTGTAGAATGAAGCCATTTCAGAGGTCATTTCAGAGCCTGTCAAAGGAAGCTTAAACCGTGCTCAGTCAGCACAGGCTATAAATTCAACAGAAATGCCTGCCAGAGAGGATTGTCTAAAGAGAGTTTTCTCAGAACCTTTGCTCTCCGTTCAAGAGAAAGGTGCTCTGCTGAAAAGAAAGCTGTCTCTTGTAGAACAGGATGTGATTGTAAATGAAGATGGAAGAAGTAAGCTTAAAAAGCAAGGAGGTAACAGTTTCCTTATACTTTTAGACGAAATACATTTATTCAGAATGACCTTTAATTTCTTTTCCTAATCAAGAAAACACTTTGTTTTGTCAGACCCTCTCAGTGAAGTCTGTGCGTTATCATTAGTGTGTGGTGACGTCCCAGAAGACTTAATAGATGTTTCAGATTTTGAGTGTTCCCTCTGCATGAGGTAAGTGTACACAATTTTATAAAGGATGAATATTTTGTATTAACATATATCAAATACAGCAATAGGTAAAGGCGGTAAACAGGCAATGTAACATAATGCTAAACTAAAAAAAAAATTACATACATTTTAATCCTACGTCTACCTTTTCACACCTTGGGCAACATTGCCTCCAAATTTTGGTTTTCCGTTTATAGCAATCAGGGTCAGGATTCGCATAACCTTTGTCACAGTGTTGTGAGAATCAATGGCTTAAGTTTAAAAAAGAATCTGGGACCTTGCAAAGTACTATTATTGGTAGTGACCTCAGATGGATCTGTGGAAAGAATGCTAATTTTGTATCGAATGCATATGTTTGTCTTTGCATTTTAAATGTGAAATCATATTTAAGTAATATAAGAATTACCATTTTGTAGAAAAGAATTTGAAGAGGCCGGTGTTTTAAAAAAAACTTTTTTTCCCAAATTACTTTATTAGGAGCTAATCTAGACATCATAGCATTTCACAGTTCAGTCATCTCACACAGTATTAAGTTGCTACCCAAATCAGCTTAAAACATGCTTTTAAGAGAAGATTTTCAGTTACCTTAGGTGCGTTGGTAGTCACAGGAATACTGCATAGAGATCCGGTTGGCTGCTCGTCACCTGTGAAGGTGATGGCTGGAGCCCTGGGATGTGGCCCCTTAACTCTTGAATCTGACAGGTGAGGCCTGCAACCAGGCAATTCAAAAGTATTAGGAAATAACTATAAGTAAAAACGTGATAGGTGGGACTTGAAGGAACTGCCTTGGTTTTCTAAGTCTTGCAATTTTTCCACCTTTGAAACGGTGTGGTTATACCATACCTTTCTTATCACTCCATTTAGTGGGAAATACTTGAGTTTTCCTTTTGTAGCGGATTTCCCCATTACACAGGTTCCAGTTCTCACAGGTTTTATTATATAATATTGAGGGTGATTATTTAGAATCCAACTATGATAGTAAAGTATTCTTTTTTTATAGTAAATATTTCTTACTGGTGAATTTCATGTAGGAAGGCCATTGGGAATGATGTGTCTTACATGTGATTTCATACTAAGTCTGAAATCCGCTGTGCCTTTCAGCCTTACCGCACATCTCTGTAAGAAGCTCTGGTAGCCCAGGTAGCAGTTGAAGACCAGTGAGTAGGATGAGGCTTTCTCCTCCCACAAAGAGTTTCAGTCTCGGAAATTTACAAGGGCGCTTCTACTCTGTCTCCCGTGGTGATGCTTGGATTTGGTTTTACACAGCTCTCCATCTGGCTAGCTACATTTTGAATGCGTAGGAACCTCAGGTGACTAAGGCTGTCATATTGGTGAGTGCAGAGGTTCTCAACCTTTGGGTCACAACCCCTTTGGGGGTTGAACGACTTTCACAGGGGTCGCCCGATTCATAACAGTAGCAAAATTATAGTTGTGAAGTAGCAATGAAAATAATTTTATGGGGAGGGGTTCACTACAACATGAGGAACTGTATGGAAGGGTGGCGGCATGAGGAAGGTTGAGAACCACTGGGTTAGCACAGCTCTACGCTTGTGGCAGAGCACTGATATGGTGGCGAATGTTTAAGAAGCCTTACAATATGTAAAGCACAAGCATTTACAGGCTGCCAAACTCACTGTCATCAAGCCGATCCTGACTTACAGTGACCCCACAGGACAGAGTAGAACTGCCCTGTGTGTTTCTGAGACTCCAGATCTAAAGGGGAGCCTCATTGTTGCGTTTGTCACTGGTCTTCCCGTTCCCTCCTACCTGCTGGGCTGTCATCCTTCCTCATCTAACACAGATTGACGCGATGGTCCCATTTCTGGTTTGTTCACACTTTCTTAGTTAGTAGCTTGCTGTGAAAACTAACCTCTACTTTTGGTTGATTTCAGGTTGTTTTTTGAGCCAGTAACAACCCCTTGTGGACATTCATTCTGTAAGAATTGTCTTGAACGTTGTTTGGACCATACACCGTATTGCCCGCTTTGCAAAGAGAGCTTGAGAGAGGTAAGTATTTTGCACGTGCACCTGTCTTGCTTGTTGGTCTTGGATGTGGCAGCGTGCTTTCATTTCTTTTCAGTCACAGAAGCAGTTGTTACCGTGTGTAAACTGAGTTGTCACACTCCAGGCAACAAAAGGTAATTTATTACTGATGTGTGCTACCTTGTGGTGAAAACTGAGATAAAAGGTTAGGAGGAAGAAGAAACGCTCTGGAGATTAAGCCTCTTGTACAAAAAATAAACACACGGCAAAGGTGGGATATGGTCAGGTCAGATCCCTAGTCAGGATTTGTTCCGTGTTAATGATGATGATATTGGGCCGGAGTGGAGGCCTATTTCATCCCCTTTCATCTCTGGAGCAGTGTTATCTGGCAGCACTTAGTGCATTGATAGAAACGCTCCCAATATATGTTGCTCAGAATGATAGCCACTAGCCTTGAGTGACTATTAAACACTTGGGATGAGGCTAGAATGTTTGAGTAGACTTGTACTTCTAATTTTATTTCATTTCAATTAAATTTAAATGGCCTTAAGGGGTTAGTGCAGGGGTCCTCAAACTTTTTAAATGGGAGGCTAGTTCACTGTGCCTCAGACCCGTTGGAGGGCTGGACTATTAAAAAAAAAGCTATGAACAAATTCCTATGCACACTGCACATATCTTATTTTGAAGTAAAAAAACAAACAGGACAAAAACACCCCAGGCAGATAAATGTCCTCGGCGGGCCTCATGTGGCCCGCGGGCCGTAGTTTGAGGACGCCTGGGCTAGTGGCTATTACATCAAGCAGCACAGCTCTAGAAAGAGGGGGAGGTGTTGTTCCCACACCCTTCTGTGATAATCAGTGGCCAATGCTAATAACCTGTAGGAAAGCGTGTGATCTCAGGTGGGTGCGTTCCGTAACTGATGGGAGCATAGCATCCATCAGTCGTGCCTGCGTAACTGACATCCGGGAGAGGGAGACGAAAACCGTGCAGTTCTGAGCTGCAGGCCCAGTGGCCACAGGGGCTAGAAAAGGGACTACCAGGACTGTGGGGAAAAACAAGACTTCTAAGTAGGAATAAGAAAAGAATAAAATGATTTTACTAGTGCATATTCATGAATTATTTTCTTCATAGAAGCACAGATTCTGCATGCATATTGAAACGGCCCATGTGCTTGGTTAGATTGGACGCCTTACAGTGTGTAAAAGGAAACCATTTACTACACACTGCTCACGGAGTTAGGAAACAGACTTATGTTTTCATTTTTAGATTAAGTACTCTAACTAAATTGCTTTTCCTGTGTTTCTGATCATTTTGGATATTCTCTGAATATGTTTGTTACATTTTTTTCCCCTTCAAACCAACCATTAGATTAAAAACAAAGTAAAACTCACTGCCATTGAATTGGAGGTTCTGAGACTAACTCTTCACAGGAGTAGACTGCCCCATTCTTTTCCTGTATAGTGCCTGGTGGTTTTGAACTGCCGATCCTCCAAATATAACCACTGCACCATCAGGTCTCCTACTTAAATTCAATACATGTCGGCCTAAAATTCAATTACTTAAATTTAGATAAGTGCAAGCCTAAAGCTGTTTTATGGTTGAAGAATAATGTATTAAACGGGTTATTTGAAAGCATGACATGTAAAAAATAATTTGATCCCACATTCCAACTTTCAAACATCATATACAGTGAAACCTGGAAGTTGAGGGAACTGCCTTCGCTTCCTGGACCTCACAAGTTTGTCTGCCTCTGACAAGGTGCAGTCACCGCCCTGATCACTCATTGTACTGGAAAAGAGTTGAATTTTCCTTTCTAGAAAGAAGAAAGCTGCTTCCTGCTTTCCCAGGCTTTACGATAATTTGTAAGATACAAATATGTAATTAAAAAACAAATTGGTGGACTCTACATGTAATTTTAGACTTCTATTTATCACTTTATGTTTCTTTCTTTATTTTTTATTTAAGTATGTCCTAAAATATAATTTCCATGGCTGCATAATATTCTGATGGTTTAACATTTCCCTGTTCTTGGGTATGTGCATTTAGTCTCTTTCATATATATATAAACTGCCTAAGTGAGCCTCATTATAAATTAATGATTGAGCTCTCTGTCCGTTTCCTTAGGAGACCCTCCTGGGAAGTACATCAGTGGATCAAAGGCCATGCATTTGCAAGGCTTTCAAAAGCACACGCCAGATTGTCTGCTGGTACTTGCAAGCCGCCATGATACCACAAACTGATTGATAGGGGTAGAAATTCTCAGACCCCACTCCAAAGCCACCCAAACAGAAACTCTGGAGTGTGCCTCCAACAATCCCCCCACCCCCCAACTCATTGCCATTGAGTTATACCGACCCTGTCAGATAGAGTGGACCAGCCCCTGTGGTTTCTGAGACTGTCTCTTTATAGAAGCAGAAAGTCTCATCGGTCCACTTGGAGCTGCTATTGGGTTTGCACTGCTGACCGTGTGGTCAGTTGCTCCACTCAGAACCCCACTGTGGCCCCAGGGCTTCCTGGATGGCCTTTGCTAGACTGTATTTTAATAAACAGTCTGATTCTTACTAATTTCCCCACTCTCACATTTCCTAATCTAGTCTTATTGGACAATAATAGCTCCTTACTTTGAGTGGTTCTCTAGCTAAAAGGACAGTTATCTTTATCTTGTCCTATGGTTACCTCCCAAGAGCTTCTCTGACTAATTGAGTAGGTGGCAGTGAGTGACAGGGCATTTTCTTTACCCAGAGAGAGTTCTGTGCATACATTCTGACTTGGTCTCTGACCCCGGCAAACAACAAACTCGCTGCCACTGAGTCAGTCCCAGCTCACACTGACGCTGCGTAGCCACCAGCAAGTTTGAATGTGAGTGCAGAGCTATGTCCACGTAATTCATTGCAAGTATGGTGACTGCTCTTTTATGTTGGGCATGGACAGCATCTGCTGGGACGAGCCGAAAAAATAATTAAAGAAGGCTTAATGGAAAAGGTCAAACTTGAGCTAGACTGTGAAAGACAAATAGGCTTTTCATTGGCAGGGGTGAGATAGGTGCCTTTTCGTAGTTGGAATAAAGAATGACAAAAATGCACCAGGGTAACACTTTTTCCAGGAGCCTCGGGGGAGTGGTGCAAAGGAGCCATTTAGTTAGGAGACAGGCACAGATCGTTGTCAGAACAGCAGCCTCTTGACTTCAGGGTCTGAGTGACAGTAGGAAGACAGTGGCAGTGCAAAGAGAATCTGAAGGAAAATGTATCACAAGATTTTGCCAATGAAGTTGGAAACCAAACTTCGGAGGGGGATAGATTTGCTCTACTTATATAAGGCAAAATATATTATTATCTTTACTCCTAATCAAATTTTTGTTTCTTAGTTGAAATACTAGTTATAGGTACCCAAGAGTTGCTGGGTAAAAATTGGCCTTTGGTGGGGGTGGGAGATGACCAGGAGCAGGGCTGATTGCTGCCAAAAAGATAAGCTTGATCTTAACCATTAGAGAGTGGTCTGACATACCATGCTGGCTTCAAGTTGTGACCATTCTCTCTCATGCTCTGAAGACAGGTTTGCCTGTTTAGCATAATCCATTGTAACATCCCACTACCACCCCTGCTAGTTAAAATAATCCAGAATTGACTGTATAAACATGTCATAAAGGCTCTCTAATTACTCAGCTAAACTCTTTTGCTTGTTTTGTACTATAGAAGAAAATCACTAGATTGTAAAACAATCTTGTCTTTCAGTATCTAGCAGATAGGCGGTACTGTGTCACACAGCTGTTGGAAGAATTAATAGTGAAGTATCTGCCTGATGAGCTGTCCGAGAGAAAAAAAGTACACGATGAAGAAACTGCTGAACTCGCACAGTAAGTTTCTGCTCATAAAAAATTCACACCCTCAGATTCTGAACTACCGCCCTAGACAGGAGGAACCTTCTCGCAACCTGGATCCTACCTGTAGTTCAATTCACTCTACACTAAGGTACATTTTTGACACGTAGTGGTCAGTTTCCACTGTTGTTGCCAGACAAGATTTTTTTAAAGCTTGATTTAGTTACATCCAGATACTCTGTTAGAAAGCCTTGACTGGGTCCCTGTGCTGAAGCCAGTGTCTTATTTAGTGGGGGAGGAATTTCCCAGTGACGTCAGGCAGCAGAATTGGGAACAGAGCGGTCGAGTTGGAAATAGTGATAGAAGCAAACCTGAGGTACCATGGCAGGGCAGGGAACTGGACCAGGAGGACAGTTCAGGGTAAGATAAAGGGTCTGAAATGGGTTAGTCGGTTCAGGAGAGAGTTGAAGGGCATGGCTAAGACACCTTGAGACCTTGAGGCCTGACACTGAAATCGGAAGGGGCAATTGGGAGTCAGATCTTCAGTAAATGAGGATGATGACTGGTAGCCGGATGCACTTAGAAAGGTGGACACCTGAGTCATATGAGGTAACACTGGGACTTGATGGTATCTGAGAGGAACGTAATAACTAATAGAGCTGCGTCATTTGGACCTGAGTTTGTTTGGTCTGTATATACCTCTCCTGTGTATCTCTTTTTCACCAGTCAGCTGGGTCTCAATATTTTCCCTTAATTTTTTTAGTGGGACATACTCTTTCAAAATGTAATTTTTGCATGCTATTCTTACTTAACAACTTTCTGTTCCTCTTTCAAACTATAAATAGGACATTTGACAACTCAGTTTCGCAGACAAACTAATTGTAGTAGACTTGGTCCATATGTGCCCGTCACATGCCATCTGGGGCCAGTGGCCTTCAGTGGGAGAACGATTTTCCTCCTTTCAGAGGTCAGGGCTGATTGTCTTCCTACAGAGTTGGTTGTTTCATCCTGTGGTTTTATAAGAGGTGCTTGATTGAAAATATCCCAGTGATCAGGTGACACATTTGTTTGATCAACCCGGAAGAAAGCTAGCTAGATGAAAGCCACCGCTGAAATTTGAAATCCTTAACGCAGTGGAGCAACCTGCCTGCCATAGAAGACTGGTTCAGCCAGTGGCGAGTGGAGTGGTGATGGGAGGCGAGTGAAAGAGCGGCCGTCATTGCTCACTCAGTCAGTTATGTCATTTCTCCGAAAGACTAGGGGCAGCTCATTCAGTAGCATGTGTGGGTTTGATGATATGTGCTCCCGAGTCGGTCCCCACACATGGCGGCCGGCAAACAGACTAGACTGCCTTGTATGCTTTCCTGGGCTGTCATTCTGGGAGCATTTTGATGGGTCTTTTTTCTCCCAAAGCTGCTGGTTGGGTTCAAACCGCCGACCTTTGGTTTAGCAGCCAAGTGCTTAACCGTTGTGCCACCAGGACTTCTTAATTCACAGATGAATGAAGGGTCTTCAGTTACGTTCCTAAGCAGAGTGCTGCAGCAGAGTGCTGTGTGGTGGTAGAGCAGTGTACTTGTGAAGAGTAGAGTACTGTGTTTTTAAGCATATTTTTTGTGGACATTACTTTGACATCAGTAATTCATGGTCATTTTGTAGGAAAACTAGCAAATATAGATGAACAGGGTGGGAAACAAAAGCCCTAATCTCACGACACAAAAGGAATCCCTTTAGTATATTGACAGGTATCTTTCCAGCCCATAGTACAGACAAATACGTGGTTAGCAAAATTGGGATGTAGTATTGCCTCATCTATACTCTCCTTCTCATTGATAGAACTTTGTTTCCAAGTTAATCTCAGTGCACAACATTCTTAATGGAAACAGTGTTCCATGTTATAGATAAGCTGGATTGATTAGTTTTCTTTTGATCCTAAGTTGTGACTACTATACACAGTGCTGCGGTGTGCACTCTTATACAGTTGGTTCCAAAGCTAGGCATGTGTTTACAAGCTTTAGATAAACATAATGGCACTGTTGCAGGCTCTGTCCATCATTGCCCAAGCTGGACATTATCATTATCCTTCTTCTGAACCTTTTCCAATTTGTAATGAAGAAACCATGTTATTTTAATGACTTGAAAGCATGCTTTCTCACTGCACTATCTTGCTGTCTTAATTGTGAGTTCACACTTTTTTTATTGCTTATGAATTTTTAATGATTTGTGCTTGGCCTTTTGTGAGAACTTCTCCCCTCCCCTTAATGTAATATAAGAATAAATAAAAATTTCATTGATGAAAGTTATGTAACCTTGTATGCCATGTTTTAGATACATCTTAAATTGGTTTACTATAAAAGTATTAATTTTAATCAAATAATTTTTTATTCAGCAAGACACAGCTCTGAAAATCTGCTATCTCAAAATTCACACTTGCAAAATCCACAAATGGACTTTTAGTATCAATATTGCATCCTTGTTGGTTTGAAGGAAGTGGTCCTTCTTGTTCTTTCCAATAATTAAAAATCACCTTATTTAGAATAAATCTGTGTTCTGTTTTACATTCAAGGCTCTTGTAAACGTAACTCGATTTTGCTTCGCGTGCCAACATTTAGTGATGCAATGTTTTCCTTCTCCAGCTTGACCAAGAATGTGCCCATATTTGTTTGCACGATGGCCTACCCCACTGTGCCTTGCCCTCTCCATGTATTTGAGCCGAGATACAGGCTGATGATTCGAAGAAGCATGCAGACAGGGACGAAGCAGTTCGGGATGTGTGTCAGTGACACACACAACAGGTAGCGATTTTTCGGTGGTTTTTCTATTGGCATTTATGTTGAGTGTGCTCAGAAACTTGCATGACTGTACGTGAACCTTAATACTAATCGAAGTTTTTCATTTAGTTTTGCAGATTATGGTTGTATGTTACAAATTAGAAATGTACATTTCTTACCTGATGGAAGGTCTGTGGTTGACACAGTTGGAGGAAAGCGGTTTAGAGTTCTAAAAAGAGGAATGAAGGACGGATATTGCACTGCAGATATTGAATATCTGGAAGATGTGAAGGTATTAAAAAATGTTCTTTTCCAGGATACCGTGGCGTACATGTACAGGAAGAAAGGCTAGTCATCTCTAGGTTTTCTTGTTGCTCTGAAATCACTGTGCACTCCTGGGGAATTTGGGGATAGAATCCACATCTTCTTCACTTCTCCAGGCTCAGCGACCAGTGCAGTGCCTAGAGGGTTTATGTGCACATGTATGCATACATATGGGGTTGTATGTATGCACGGGAAGTCCTTAACTGTGGCAGATGAATTTAATTGAACTTACAAACTATCTTAAATTTTGAAAAGCTGCTAGTCCTCTCCTTGGTTTGTTGAAGTTATTTGCAGTTCAGCTAAAACCCTTAGAATTTTGATGTTCAGATAATAACACAAAATGTTTTAAGAATTGTCCTATATATTGAAATTGATCCTGTGTTTCAAATAATCTGCATCAAGTAGAGTTGAATACTATATGCAGATGCTAGGGTACCACATCTGGAACACCATGTCAGTGTACCAAATCTTAACCCAGAGAGAGGATTGATAGTTTCACTGGGTGGGATTTGCAAGGCCCTTTTCTAAGACAGTAATTTTTACAGACACAGACTGCCATATCTCTTCCCTGTGGCTTCCAACCTTTGGGATAGTAGCAGAGTGCTTAATTAATTCCTGCTGTAGCCAAGAAGACCCTCGGAACAGTTCGACTCTGTAACACACAGGAGGCCACCTACAGTCAAGCCAGGCAATGACAAAAGTCATCAACCACAATTATTTACCTTATGCAGTTAGTTTAGGTACCTTCTTGAAGTTCATGGTTTATTCAATATTTTTTTGCCAATACCAAAATTCAGATGCACTACACCATTTCTTCCCTGGTAGTCTTTGTTCATGCGTTTTGAGGTGATTGAAAAAGACCTTATATTGGGTCAAGTACCCCTTAGTCCCCAAAGTGACATCTTGGCTCTGTGATGCTTTAGGCAGGTCTTTGGCAGCTGATTTGCCCAATGCAGCGCTTCCTTTGACTTCTGCTTCCATGAGCACTGATTGTGGATCCCAGTTAAAGAAATCCTTGACAACTTCAGTCTCTTCTTCGTTATCATGATGTTGTCTATTGGCCCCGGGATAATTTTTGCTTGCTTTACATTGAGGTGTAATCCGTAGTGAAGGCTGCGGTCTTTGGTCTTCCACAGTTAATTGCTTCAAGTTCTCTTCCCTTTTAGCACACAGGTTGTATCATCTGTGTATCACAGGTTGTGAATAGGCCTTGCTCCAGTCCTGCGCCGAGTTCTTCTTCATCTAGTTCTTGCCTGTACTATAAGAGTATAGCCAAAGTGTGCCTTAAAAGTGAGGGTGGCAAAGGTGCATCTCACATACTTTGAACATATTAGCATGGGAGACGAGTACCTGGAGAAGGATGTCTTTGCTAAAACCGGGGGTAAGTGAAAAAGGAGGAGACCCTTAAGGAAGTGGACTGACGCAGTGACTACCCCAGTAGACTTGCATGTAACAATCGGATAGCACAGGGCTGGGCATGTTTCCTTCTGCAGAACTCAGGATTGCTTAGAGATGGAACCAACTCATAGGCATGTAACATAAACAATAGCCAGAACACTGACTTATTGTGATAGAGTAAAAATCATATTAAAAGCAATTTCTTTTAAAAGGGCCTCATGAAAACATAGATCTTACACTATCACTTGTTCATTGGTAAACTTGTGCCGTTCATGTCCATCAGTATTTTTGAATGTATTCATAGTATTAAGCATTTGCTGGTAGGAGCAAATGATTTATTTTATAAATCATTTTATTGAGGGTTCTTACAGCTTTTATAACAATACATACGTCAGTTGTACTGAGCATATTTGTACATATGTTGCCATCATCATTTTCTAAACATTTTCTTTCTACTTGCACCCTTGGTATCAGGTCCTCTTTTTTCTTCCTTCCCCTACCCTCCCACCATCATGACACCTTGATAAATTATAAATTAATATTATTTTCATATCCTGTTTCTGTTATTCGTCCCTCTTTGGGGGGGGGGTTATACATCGATCATTGTGATCGGTCCTCCCTTTCTCCCCCTTCTCCCCCACCTTTCCCCTACCTTAATGGTATTGCTACTCCCATTACTGTTCCTGAGGGATTTATCTGTCCTGGATTCCGTATGTCAAGAGCTCTTATCTGTACCAATATATGTAATCCAGTCTAGCCAGATTTGTAAGGTAGAACTGGGGTCATGATAGTAGGGGTGGGGTGGGGGTAGGAAGCTTTAAAGAACTAGAGGAATGTTGTGTGTGTCATCGGTGCTATGCTGCACCTGGCTGACTTGTTCCTTCCTTGTGACCCTTCTGTGAGGGGATGTCCAATTGTCTACAGATAGGCTTTGGCTCTCCACTCTGATCCCCCTCATTCACATAGATAATAACTGTTTGCTTTGGATCTTCTGATGCTTGATATCTGATCCCATCTATACCTCGTGATCACACAGACTGGTGTGCATCTTACATATGGGCTTTGTTGCTTCCCTGCTAGATGACCGCTTGTTTAATTTTCAAGCCTTTAGAACCCCAGATGCAATATCTTGTAATAGCCAGGCACCATCAGCTTTCTTCATCACATTTGCTTATGTACCCATTTTGTCTTCAGTGATCATGCCGGGAAGATGAACATCACAGAATGCCAGGTTATTAGAACAAAGTGTTCTTGCTTTGAGTCCCTTGTATTTTTAATAGTCTTGGCCAATACTACAATTAAGAAGTATCAGTTCTTCACTGATCTCCCATATTCATTGTCCAACTTAGCATGTATGAGGTCATTGTTAAGAACATGACTTGGGTTATGTGTACCTTAGTCCTTCAGCAACATCTTTGCTTGCTTTTTTTTTTTTTTTCCCTTTTTCTTTTTTCAATACTGTATAGAGATTGTTTGCAGCTGAGGTGCCCAGTGAAATATTCTTATTTGATTTCTTGACGACTGTTTTGATGTATGTTGATTGTGGATCCAAGTAAAAACCTTGGTAACTTCAGTGATTTTTCTGTTTATTGGTCTGGCTATGTGGATTTTTGTTTGGGTTTTGTTATTGTGTAATCTTTATAGAAGGCTATAATCTGTTCTTCATCAATAAATGCTTTGAGTCTTCCATACTCAGCAGGCAAGGTTGGCTCAGATGACTTGCTCAACATACAGATTGAAAATGAATGCGGTGAAAGGATATATAAGGTATACCTTTCTTGATTTTTCAACTATGCAGTATCCCTTTGTTTGAATGAATGCCTCTTGGTCTATGTACAGAACAATACTAGCACAATAGCATTGTGCAATTCATACTCTTTCTACTGTCATCCATGGTTTGTTATGATCCACACAGTCAAATGCTTTCTTGTCGCCAATAAAACACAGGTTTAATCTTTCTGGTATACTCTTGTGTTCAGTCAAGTTCCATCTAACATCAGCAGTGATAGCCTTTGGTCCCCTCAGGTACTCAGGATGTGACTCAGGAAGGGCTGCCTCCTCTAAGCATAGACACTGTTAATGAGGAAAGCTTTTCTGTGGAATAGTGTGAGGGAAAAAAGATTTAGAGATATTAAGAATCATTTGCTTAAGGTCCTGCACACAGTGTACAGAAGAAATATGATTTAAAGCCACTCTGATGCCCAAGTTCTGTTCTCTGTCTTTATGTCATTTTGCTTCTCTGCTGATAACTTCATTAGTTAGATACTGCTTGCCCTTTCTGCTTATAAATATACTACAGGGGCAATTGACCTTATGCAGTAGATAAAAAATACTGTATGAATTTAAGTTTTGAGCTGATTGATAGCTTAGTTTAATGAAATCATCTGCTGATATCAATCTTAACATTTTCATTTTATGGGTATATAAAATGTTATCTTCATATATCAAGTTGATGATAAAATCCTTTGAATATGTAGCTAGACATAGTGTGACTGTATGAAGATAAGTCAAGCTTATTGTCACTGGGGCTCTAGTTCACACAGGCACTGGTTTATCGCAAACAGAGTGTATTTAAACAGGTCTTTTCATTCCGCGGATGGATGGCTGCTGACGGGTTCTCTTGATCAACACTCATTTTAGTCTCATTTGGGTGATTTCAAGAACTGTCCAAACAAAACAATGCCTTCTGAGGCGTTTGCTGGGCCATTGAAATCCGAGGCAGAGAAGCCAGCACAGAGGTGATTGCGACTGGGTCTGGGGACCCCCAGGGAGTCATCTTGAGAGGTTCTTCTTAAAGGACAGAGGACAGGAGCTTACTATGAAGAATTAAGAACCATGAAAACTACACTGGTAAGGGAAAGACCAGGCAAGTTGTACCAAGGAATGCTTTCCCAGCTCAGCAGCATAGCTGCTTTCCCCCCACCCCAGGGGAGCAGCAGGTGCTTTCCTATGAGAATTTCATTGGGAACTTTCCTCACTCACTACCCTGCAGCTCTAATCTTGCCCCTTTGAACTTTATTTTGTTTCTCAACTCAAGAGCATTTTAAAGAAACACTATTTGTTGTCTCCATTGTAATGTATAAATTGAGGAGAGCAGAATTCCTGGAGAAAGGGTGAAAGACAATAGATTCATATCTCGGTGTTTTTATTTAAGAAAGATGAAGCTTCTTACTGTCAAGAGTCACAGTCTCAGAAACCCACCAAGACAGATCTGCGTTGTCCTTCGATGCCGTCGCTGTGATGAGTCAGAACTGACTTCATGGCAGTGACGGAGTGATGGTGCTGATTGGATTTCATCTCATAAATATGACAAGAAAAGAGAATGTAACGGCCAGTAGAAAGTAGCCTGTTGCAAACCAGGATGAGTTTGTTGAGTTCTCTATATTTTTGCAATTTTAGGAATATTAGTAGTTTTCTTCACCTCAGTTTCCTAAACCGTGTGACTTTCTTGAGCATTCAGCAAAAGTTTCTCAAATTTGTATTTTTTCATACCAAAGCCTTTATTCCTACTGTAGCGATTCTTTTTTCTGTGGCTTATAATGAAATTTGAAATTCTGTTGTTATAATAAAATTCAGTAACACCTTGCTGTTTTTCTCTTGGCTGCTTAGCCACTTCCTGAATCCACCCCCTATCAGATTCCTAGTATTCCTTCTTTTCCAGAGTTCATGGTTTCGTCCTTGAATTTTGTGAGAGTACAAAGCTGAAGCTTTTTAAAAGTTGGCTTGATTAAGTTTTTCAGATCTTTTAAAAGTAGGATCGCTTGGTCCTTGTGTGCAGTAGCCTTACCTTTTATATTTACAGATTTTTTTTTTTAGAACCCCCTTCTTGTTCTGTCTTGTAATCCTTGAAGTGTGCGAGGCCTGGTATTTGTTCAGAAACATTAATGACCATGAACCAGAGCATAGTCTAGCATGTAGTAAGCAAGAGCTTAACTGGTTGTTAGAGAAAGCAATATCCATTGATGGACGTGTTAACTCCCTCTGCCCACTGGCTTTCATTCTGAGAGAATGCTCTTGGATCTTCAGCTGCCAGGCAGATGCATTTAAATGTGTGTTTCCAGTGTGGGGACCATAGTCTGGAGGGAGGGTGGGAGGGAGGTGGAGGTAGCCACAGCTGTGGGCTCCTGCGGCGGGCAGGGAGATGCTCGTTTCATCACTAGCTTCTTATCTACTGGCTAGCCTTTTTGTTTGTGTAAGTAATTTTCCCATTGAGAGCTATATGCGTTCCTGGCCGCCACCCTGTCACTGCTTTGTGCTGTATATATTATTTACATCCACACCCCCATCTTCGCTTTTGGCTTAGGAGCTGTGGTCATTAAGTCACTGCCATCAAAAGCCACTGACCCACAGGGACAGACCAAAGGATTTCCCAGTTTGTTGAGACATTTATCCCAGGACCTGCTCTCTCTCGTGCCCGCGCCCCCCCCCCCAGGGAGGGGCTATTGGGAAGGTTCTGTGGAACCGCACTGCTTCCAGTGAGGTGGAGGGCAGGACAGGACTTGTCACCCTTTCCTCTGGCCCCACTGAAGCAGGTGCTTTGAACAGCAGTAAAGCCATGTTCTCTGAAACTTCAAGCAGTGTCGTGGGTGTCCCCCTCTTTCGGATCCTTTTTCTTCATTTCTGTTGGGTGGGCAGCGGGGCTTCTGTGATTAGACACCCAAACCTTACGGAGTATTGTATTCCTAGGTTGAGAATGAAGATGAGGTAACGAATCTCAGAGAGCTTCACAACCTGGTGTACTCCCAAGCCTGCAGCTGGTTCCAGAATTTGAGAGATAGATTTCGAAGTCAGATTCTTCAGCACTTTGGATCAATGCCCGAGAGGGAAGATGACCTTCAGGTACGACGGCTGTCATGTTGCTTCCGGAGGCTCAAGTCCTCAGTTTGTAAAGCCACATTGGTGAACAGTTTTGTTCCTTTTTACATGCCTTGTATGTTACGCAGCATGTTCTTGGAATTCCCCCCTACCTTTCGAATCATGACTATGTTCTTTGGGCAGTGGTGCCCCACGCAGTTCTATGGTAGGGGATGGAATGGGTCTCAGCTGAGGTGCCTAAGCGAAGGAGGAGAGGGTCCTTAGCTGCAGGTTCTCTGGAAGGAGGCGCATACGGGATTCACAACAGGACGCAGGCCCCTCGAGTACGTTGTGGCTGTGAGAGAGCCATGCCTTCACGCCAGTCCCCGAGAAATGTGTGTGATATCATCTGCATTCATGTTTTTAAATCCCTATCTTCTTATCTCCAACTTAAATATTTCCCCACTTCAAGTTAGTTTTGCTTCTGTGTGTTTCGGACATAATGCCTCATAAAACTATTATTATTGATAGCCTTGCTCGTGCACACGGGATGCGCAGTGAAGCTCAGTCTCCCAGCTGTCTACCAGGCCCTTCTGTGTGAGTTGGCGAATGCCATAGGTGCTGCTCTCTGTGTAAGGGAAGAGGCTGTGTTCCGGAAGACCTGATTCCAGACTCAGCAAGGCACTAACTTTGGGGCCATAAGCATTTTGAATGGAGTGGAATAAAATGTAGAGGTCAGAAGGGTCTGGGTTTCATGAAGGAGGGACTGTAAAACAAGTGGGGGCAGGAAGCTTGCCATGTCCTGCTCTGAGGGGCACGTCCTCGCCTCCCAGGCCGCCAGGGCCAGCCCCGGTCTGAAACCATCGACCTGAGCACCAGCACCTTTACCTCGAGTGCTCGGCCCACATTCAGCTTCGTGTTCGTGGCCACATGTTGGTTTTATCCGGGCTACCGGACTCGGAACCTGACAGAAGGAGCCTTTGATGAGCACGAGCTTGAATAAACAAATGGTGAAGGTTTGGCCAGCTGAGAGAACAGTGTAACATTACGCTCCCGTTTGCTTTGCTGTCCAGGTGGTTTATCAGCCACTTTCCTCACGCTAGCTTTCTGTCTGTCTGTCAGTCAGGTTTTGCCAAGAAAGTCAAAGCAGTCCGTCTGCATTCCAGGAATGGAGGGTGGCAGGGGGAGGTCTCAGAGATGTCTACAGCTCTCAGAAGAAGCCCAGCTGTGAAGATAGAGGCCACTCCCAGCAAACAGGAGGCAATCTGGTCATAGACCGCCCCTCCGCTGATAGTAGATCAGGGGGGTCCCCACCATTGTCCCAGTCCGCAGCAGTGGAAAGAGCTCTCTGGAAAGCTGCTGTTGAAACAGACTCCAGTCACTAATGGGCCCATCTCTTCAAATGTCCAACCCTCCTAAGAGGGCCTCCTTATCGGCAAAGTCTACCCCAGAAGTGGAATTCCTGGGTGGTGGGAACAGATTCAGGCTCAGCTATTAACCAAAAAGGGGGTGGCGGTTTAAATCCGCTTACAGGTCCTGTGAAGAAAGGCCTGGCAATCTATTTATAAAGGTTCACAGCCCCGAGAAGCCTAGAGAGTGCAGACCTACTCCGTAGCACCTGGGATTGCCAAGACTCACAATCAGTTCCGTGGCCACCGCACAAACCTGGAACTATGCACAGGGGAAGCGGCTGTGGGAAATGTAGTTTGTGACTCCTCCTTCCTGCAGAAGCGGATGGCAGTGATGCTGAGCTGGGAAGCACACACTTGCTGAGAGCGAGTTTGATCCTGGAAGGGGTTGAGATCCGCCCTGAGGTTGATGGTCCACTTGCTATTCTGAAATTTCCAGCATAAAGCAATTGGAGCGTGTGCAGTAAAGATTGCCCACAAATCCTTTCCTTCGAATTCCTTGTTCTTTTGAGCCCCTGCAACATCAGAGGGCCTTGTTCTGGAATCCATTTATTACCCCCCACCCCCACTCCCACAACAGAAGTGGAAGCTGAGACCATTTTTATACTTTCCCTAGGATGTCTTAATTCTTTTTTTGAAAGAGTTTTATTGGCACATGATTCACATCGCATGCGATTCAGGGGTTCAGCCCTATCAAGCTGAGCTGTGCAATCATCACCACAATCAGTTTTAGACCGTTTTCTTCGTTCTTGTACTTACTGTTACTCCGTCATTCTTTGAACACGTTTTAATATCAATTAACTTCCCTTAATCCATCAGCTAGACTTTTAAGACAGTCGTTCTCATCCTGGGCCAGTTTCGCCCTCCATCAGACATTTGGGCACGTCATCTGGAGACAGTCTTGGGTAGTGCCACTGGCATGCGGGAGACTGCTCGACACATCGTCCAGTTAGTCCTTGGGACAGCCGCTTGCAGCGGAACTCTCCCGCTCAACTGGACCGCAGTGCCGAGGTGGAGAACCCCAGTTTTAAGGCAGGTGGTGCAGAGAGCAGAGCGTTGGCTCTGGATTTTGCTTGTGGCCCTCCCACCCAGGAGCTGAGAGTTCCCGAGCTCTTGTCCTGGACATTGGTGAATTTCATTTCCTGCTCTTGGTCAGGCATCATAATGGCCTACCTATCAGGATGGTTAAGATGTCAGAGAGGGTTTGGGATGGAACTGGCGCACTGGAATGTGCTGGAGCAGTTGTAGCTTTTCGGTGGTTTTGTTGCTGCTGTTACAGGAAAGTTCCTTGTATTCACACTGTGTGATGTTGATTGCTTTTAGGCAACCCCTAATGGACCTGCGTGGTGCTGGTGGCTGCTCGCAGTTCTTCCCGTCGATCCCCGGTACCAACTGTCAGTTTTGTCCATGAAGTCTTTGAGAGAACGGTTGACCAAGATACAGCATATACTGACCTATTTTTCTAGAGACCAATCTAAGTAACTAACGGCTTGGATCTTCCTTTTAAACAGTTACCTTAATCTGGCTGCACCAACAGCCAGATTGTCCGCTGCCTTTGCACATCCAGTGCTGGTTTGAGAAATGTAATGAAACTGATCGTTTCTGTTTGTTTTGTTTTCTTCAACCTCCTGAATCACGCGGTTCTTCAAACGAATACCTTCAACTAGGATTTAGACCACTAAGAACTTGCACAGGAAAATACGCACTGACCGTGTGTTCAACTTCTACATCGTGATGAAGTTGCACTATGTACCATCTGCTAAAATGAAAGGAGAACTCTGTGTGTGTGTGTGTGTGTGTTGTGAGTTGTGTGTGCGTGCGTGAGTGCGTGCGCGCATTTTCTCTGGCTTTAAAACTTTAAAAGAAGATTAAAAAAAAAGCCATAGAGAGCAGAACTTGCCGAGGGTCGTTTATTGCCCAAGTTTACAACAGTAGCGATACAAGTTTTTGCAAATTGAATTTGCCTCAGATCTATCTGTCCTAACGCTTATATTTGCACACGTACGTAAAACACGGTATTGAGTATCACTATGTGTTGGAAACCCTGCTCTTGCTGAACGAACTGTGTTGACCATCGACTATGACACAATTTCTTATTTATGTAAATACTTGCGTTCGGTGCCTGACAGGCACTGGACGTGGAACCTAGAGCCAGTTTTCAGGAACACCGACAAACCTGACATGGTACTGTGCATCTACTCGTACAACACTTACAACTGTGAAAACCTGGTTTACATTTACCTGTACATAAAGCAAATGGAGAGTTCAGTTCAGTACCCGTTGGTTTGTACCTTTCCAGGGGCTTTCGCATTACCCGCCCATCTGTGTAATTTACAGTTTGACGTGATATGTGTGTTCGTATCTGACAAATGGCCTAGTGGGAGCCCTTTGAGGACTGGGGGGTGGGGGAGGTGAAGAAGCTGGCGTAGAACTCAGCTTTGAGAGGTCCGTTTTCTGTTTTGTTTGCAGTTCTGGCCGTGGTGCAGATGTTAGTTATGCCTTACTCCTATCACGACCAGATCACCGTGCCGAGGCATGGTCTATTCACGCTGCCCCTAGACACTTTTGTAATTATTTGTTGCAAACTTGTGACTGTCTCTATTAGCTTTCTTTTACGTAAGTCATTTGTAAAAGTTTCTTACAAATTTTGCTTTTGCTTATTTAATTTTGAATAAAAGCTAAATTCATAATAGCTTTGTGTGGTTATAATTTCAGGTGAATGTTACATTTTTTAAAAACAACACTGAGGAACTCCCTGCACGTAGGAAAGCACAACTCGGTGAGTTTTGCTTATTTGACGACAAGGCATAACCTGCGTGTTTGTAGAATACCTTTTCTGGTTGGTTTTTGACCAAGGAACACAGTGTCTGAAAAAGAGTGAGGCCCTAGAGCAGCGGTTCTCAACCTGTGGGTCGTGACCCCTTTGGGGGTCGAATGACCCTTTCATAGGGGTCGCCTGATTCATCACAATAGCAAAATGACAGTGATGAGGTAACAACAATGATGATGGTTGGTCACCACAACATGAGGAACTGTATGGAAGGGTCGCAGCACTAGGAAGGTTGAGAACTGCTTCCCTGGAGCCTCCCACAAAGCACTTTATTTTCACCCTTTTTCAACTCCATGCTTGGGGGGGGGGGGGTATACAGTTCTCATCTACATGCTCCTTACTCCCATTTGAGACGCCCTCTAGTCCCACAAGCTGGACCATGGTAGTCTCTGATTCTTAGCTAGGATGTTCCACATACAGAAGCTTCGAGTTCTAGAAAACTTGGAAATGACTCCCTTGAGGCCCTCTCGTTGCCCCTGTGATCGGTTCACTGGTCCTGCAGAAACCAGCCCCGGCAGGTGGGTGGGACACCCCTCAGAAATACCTTTTTGACTCTTAAGCATTACATTAATCTTGTAAGATCAAAAGAACCACAATTAAATGCTTGTCAAGTAATTTGTAAATCTAAATGTTTATGTAAATCCAAAAATATTCAGATGGAACTAAGAGTTTTCTGGTATTGAAGCCATGGTCTCTGTCTCTTTCTCACGTGTGTACACAAACACACACACAGGCATTAAATAGTTTACATTCATACACATACTATTCAACATTATTATTTTACCCCCAATTTCATGGCAGATGGATATATAGAAAAATTCTAGCTATTAAAAAAAAATCTCAATTTTTTTCTTAGTCCCATCGAAAAATATATCAACTCACTGCCATTGACTTGCTGCTGACTCAACAAGCCTGTAGTTTAAAAACAAGTGCTAAATGACTGATTTTTATCCCTGAACCTGAAGGGTCTAAGTTCTGTCATGAATTCTAACACTGAGGCCAGAGGAACTAGTAGTAACTCTTAGTGTACACCTGTCTGCACGTCCAGTTCCTCCTCCTCAGGCTCCAGCTCAGAAGGTTTCTCTCCGCTGGAGTCCGCTGATTGCTGATACCACTTACTCTCGACGTTACTAGGACACTTACAGGGGAACGGAATAAAGCACATCAACCCTACTGAGTGTTCTGCCCCGAACCTGGCAATTTCAGACAGATTGCACTCCAAACCACATGCAGATTGTTAAGCAGAATGGGAGTTAATGCCAGTTACAAAGGGAGTGTGTTTGACTCAGAGGGGCCTTATATAGTGTTGCTAGGATGGAATCTTCAAAGCAGCAGACAGCCTCATCTTTTTTTCACAGAGCATCTGGGGAGTTTGAACTGGACCCTTGCATGCAATTAGCAGTCCAGTGTGTATCCATAGTGCCACCTTCCCCTGGCTTCTAAATTTACAAAACAAACCCCAACTTAATGGTCCATCAACTGCCCCACACTTGGGAGGAATTTTTTGAGCTACACAAACAGGATTTTATAGAGAGGGTTAGAGGTAGGCACAGCTGTTCAGAAATGGACTTGTGCAGGGTCAGTGGGAGTGGCTCCAGGAAAGCTCCCCACTAGCAGAGAGAATGAGGGGAGACTCCTTCGGAGGGGCTACACTCGAAACAACTGTGTTCTTCACTCTCTCTAAGCTGGGTTAGGCAGGAGGCAGTAACTGTATTCAGGCCGAAGCACTGGCTGTGTTGGACTGGCCAGCAAAGATTCCCCAGACCTTAAGTCGCTTAGCCTTTTGTTGTTAGGTACCATTGATTTGATTCTACCTCAGCAACCTTATGTACAACAGCACAAACCACTGCCCGGTCCTGTACCAGGCCCACAATTGTCATGTTTGACTACCTGGAGATGCCTGATAGATGAGCTCACATGTAGAGCCAGCAAACCACTAAGCTACCTCTCAGTGTGTTCCATCATCCCCCCACCTCAACCCAGACAGCTACTGTGGATGGAACTAGCGACCACAGGCATCCCAGGCAATGAAAATGAGTAGGAAAATCCCAGAAATTTGAAGGAAATTAAAAGCTTAAAAGAAGTGACAGACCCAGCATTACAATTGAAAATACATTCTGATAAAAATATCTGAGAATTCAAAATATTCTTCAGACTCACTGGCACCATAAAGACATTCAGTAATGGTTTCTTGAACCAACAAATGAGTCATGGAAATAAACTCAGGAGATGAGCTGAATAGACGAATAAATGGAGATAGTGATTTAATGAGGCAGAGGATTAAGTCAGGGCCATTTTCCAAAATGCAATGTAGGCATATCAAGAGAACGAAAGTATGAGAGAAAAAATTGAAACTTAAAAAAAATTGAAACTTGGAGAATATATTTAAAAGCTTAGTATCCATCCAGTAGAAGTTCAAGGAAGATAGGAGAAATAATTTCCCATAATTTGACAATAAAAATGACATTCTACTTTTCCTAAGCATTAAATCTATTCATTTAAAGAGAAAGAATAAATATAAATAAATTTACCAAAGGACAAACAAAATAGCAATTGCTCAGTTGTCTGACATTGATCAGCTACTAGATGACAGTTTTCCTTACAAGCCATGTTTAAATACCAACATTAAAAAATTTTTCAATATGTATAGGGTAAGATGTTTGGGACCCAGCTTAATAATCAACATTTGGCTTCTATAACTTTTGACACGTCTCCAAAATAAAAATTATCCTTAAAGATGTTGATGTCTCAGTTTCAGATATTAAAAAGAATATAAGCTTCATTTTTAAAAGAATAAGCAATGTCAACAGAGAGTAAGCAACAGTTTTGTCCTCACAAAGTCCTGTGAAATCTAATCTTACAGAGATGGGGACCAAATGCAGTTAAGTAATTTGTTAAAGGATCATATGTGGTGGAATTGATTTTAAACGTAAGCAACTCACTCTTCCATCCAGTTAAAAAACCATCTGAGTCGGCCAGATAGTTGAAGGCTTGGGAACGGTTGACTTTGCACATGACTACATTCTCTAGCAAGGGATGAAAGCCTGGTCGTAAGCATTGCTCAGGGTTGTGTACAATTTGCCAAAAGTGAGGAGGACTTAAAGCCCTTGCTGATGAAGATCAAGAATTGTAGCCTTCAGTATAGATTATAACTCAATGTAAAGAAAACAAAAAACCACTACTGGACCAATAGAAATATAAATGGATAAACAAAAAAATTCAAGTTGTCAAGAATTTTCTCTTGCTTGGATCCACCATCAATGCTCATGAAAGCAGCATTCAGGAGAAAAAACAACACATTGCATTGGGAAAATATCACAAGACTTTCTTTTTAAACATTTTCTTGAGGGCTCTTACACTCTTGTAACAATCCATACTTCAATTGTATGAAGCACATTTGTGCATATGTTGCCATCATTTTCTAGACATTTATTTCCTGTTGAGCTCTTGGTGTCAGCTTCTCTCCCCAGCCCTTCCTCCCACCCTCACCCTGTGACCCTTGATAAATTATAAATTATGACTTTCATATCTTACACCTACCACTGTCTCCTTTCCCGCATAGTTTCTGTTGTTCTTTCTCCTGGGGCCAGAGGGTGAGAGGGTGGGGAGCATTATGTGTCAATCACCATTGGTTCCCCTACCGCTCCTCCTCTCCCCACCTGCCCCCTACCCTCCTGGTATCGCTATACCTATGACTGTTCTTGGATTCCATGTCTTGTGAGGTCTTACGTCTTATCCATACCTGTGCACATGCTCCGGTCTAGCCCGCAGTGAAAGGCAGTACTAGGGTCATGATGGTGGTGAGGAAGCCTCAAGGAACCAGAGGATTATTGTGTGTTTCATTGGTGCTTGATGGGGGGGCAGGAGGAAGATGAAAAGAAACAGAGGAAGGATCTAGGAAGCAAAGATGGATAGAGGTATAAGCATAAGTGTGTACATATGGTATGTATGTATGTAAATATGTAATGTATTAACAAATACATTCGTAAAAATAGAGGTATGTACATATATTTATATGGCACTACACTGAGGTTGTGGACAGACCTCCGGCCTCAGTTCCTGCCCTCCCTCAATGCAAGGACACTTTGCTTTGACAACCTGGCATTCTGTGATGCTCACCCTCCTGACATAATTGCTGAAGACGCATGGGTGCATAAACAAGACCTCTTTAAAGTGTTGGAGAGCAAGGATATCACTTTGAGGACCAAGGTGCACATGGCCTTTTCCATGGCCTCCTATGCACGTGAAGGAAGTCTGCAGAAAAATCGATGTGCACTGGCGAGTGTGGAAAGCACTGGGGAGTGCTAGCAGAGCCAACACATGGGGAAGTACAGTCTGAAGCCTCCCGAGGGGCAAGGATGGCAAGATTTCATTTCTTGTATTTTGGACATAGTATCAGGCAAGACCAGTCTCTGGGAAAGAACTTCATGTTTGCTAAAGAAGAAGGGCGGTGGAAAAGAAGACCCTTAACAAGGTGGACTGACACGACTTCAACAGAACAACTGTTAGGCTGGAGCAGGGCCCCGCAGTGTTTCATTCTAGTGTACATAGACTGCTGTGAGTCAGAACCAAGCAGTGGCACCTAGCAACAACAAGGTTGTGAGATGGTGAAATCGTCTTCAGCCACCCACGCACATAGGCATATTTAGCTTTTGGTGAATTGGGTAAAGTTTTACAGAGCAGATCAGTTTTCCATTCAACAAGTCATACACATTTTGTTTCATGTCATTGACTGCTGTCCCTGCAATGTTAACGTCACTTACCCTGCTTCTTCCTTGTTCCCATTTCTCCTTTTGTTAACTTTGTCCTTGGGTAAATGCTGCCCTTTTGATCTCAAATGGTTGATTATCCTAAGGTGTGCT